TGGTGAAACCACATATCAATTTCATGGCTGCAAAACTGTGAAGACCCTTGGGCGAAGAACTAGAAGTTGATGGGTACTTGTGTGACTTCAGTGGGTTTTGAAATGAACAAACATCTTACAAGGACAAACAATCCCGTCTGTTATGCAAGTCCCTGATTCCTTCTAGGTTCATTCAACATTAATGGCGTGATAGGGATACAGCAGTTAGGCAAATAGGCTGTAGACATGCATCATTTTTATTATAGAGCCACTCTTGGAAATCAAAATCAAGTGGTATATTCAAAGGTCCTTGTAGGTATGGTATATTTTACAGTAGTGTGTCCTTTTTAAAGGTTTTGTTTTGCATAATGGAATATGAAGAAGCTTTCTGAACAAACTGGCGTTACTTAAAATGTTTTTCTTACGAAAGGTCATTAAAGATTAAGCCTTTGGGTAGATGTTTTGTTTGCTGTGGAAGAACGTTGTTAAAAGGAGCATGATGACTTTTTTTGCAGGAAGACTGTGGAATGATACCTTCTAAAAATTGTCAGTAAAACAAACCATCTAGGTTGTGTGTAGATCAGTGGAAACCAGAATTTGGCAACAAATGTGATTGACAGAAGAAGAGTGGAGTTAGGTATATTGAGATGGTTTTAATCTTTGTACACATCTGAAGACATTTTATATTCAGACAAGTAAAATGCTGGAAACACTTGAGTAGCCATCTTTTTCTTATCAAGAGTGTAAGTTTGACAGTTTATAAACCTTTCATTTTCTCAGGGTTGCTCTGAAAACATTTCCTTTCATCTGCATAAATGAAATAATTTTGACACTTATCATTTCTTCCAGTTGTTCATGAACTGTTTTAGATGGTCCATCAAATTTGTTTAGGGTATGACTGTAAAAAAGGCTAAAAGGCATTCCAAGTGTGGGCGAATAAAATGTATTTGTGCATCCCAGTTCCCTACCCATATTTTCTGAAAAATAACTTTTTTTCTGAATTCAGTGGGACATAATCTGAAGCAAGTGTGTGCTGGATTTCATCCTTTGTTTGTGGGGGGTAAATGCCCAGCCAAAATATGTCTGGATCTCCCTAGTGCACCATTTGAATGTCCAGTGTCCCAAGACTGGATGACATAGCTAACGTGTGTTTAAACCTGCCCCTACCAGGGTTTAAAGTGCTAGATGCAGAACTTCAGGATTCTGCCCCAGGGTTTAGATTTTAAAGTGGCAAACCACCTCCCCAACAATTTGATGCCACACTTTTAAACTAAGGCTGGATTTAAATATAATGCTGTGATGCAGAAGCACACTCTTGAGCGTCTTTGCATATGTATGTTATTTAAACTGGGCTGTTCTCTGTGCAGAGCAGCTACATGACACACCATTGGGAGTGCAGAGTCCCCCAGGAGAGGGCTTTTGTCTTCCCAGCATCATGGTTAGGTCAAATGTAATTGTCTACCCAACCATTTCAACAGTTGAACATCAAACTGGGCATGACCAGGGCAGAATTCTGTATGCTCGCATGCAGCGTTTTAAACACTGCCTAAATGTTTGTCCTTCACACATTAATCTCATATCCGTTTTATTCAGCATTTTCAGATATTTGACATGCTGTAATAGCACAATGGGTTACTCCATTCAGGGTAAAATGCAACAAACTTAACACCTACTGATTTTAAGGAAATACAGCACAAAGGGGAGAAATTTATATGTATAATAAAAAGGCAGAAAATATGGAAGGATTATACTTTGGTTTAATCTGTTTAGTCTTCAGCCTATTTTAGTGGGCTTCTGCCACTAAAAGCACATAGAGGGAGACCAGGTGTTTGAAGACAAACACAGAAGTGTGTTTAATTGGGTGTCTTGAAGTGAAAGGCATTCGTGTATATATATGCGTGGGTGTGTGTATATATATATAAAACAAGCATGCCTTTCAAAAATCTATTTTGCTTTCTTCATTAGACAGGTTCGAAGTACTGAATATTTAAAATGAAGCGTTCAGACACTACCAGTTAAATTCAAAGCAAAGTTACATCCTTCTAAGCTCATTGACTTCAGTAGTGGACTTATAAAGATGTAACTCTGATTTGGTTTGCGCTGTAGAGATTAAAATCCCAACAAATTCCTTCGCTTTTCAAAGAGAAATGGTGCCTTTTAACAGACAGATCTGATCCGCACAGTGCCAGTCTTACTCAGAGCATTGGTGGCTCAGGTTTACCATCTGGATGCTTTGGTCATCCCACCCTCCATGTTGCTTGTTATGGCTGATGCCATCTGACGTTGATTGTCTTGTTGATTGTCAGAATAAAATTGTGTGTCACATCTATCTGGAAACAAAGTATATAACATTATGTTGTTTACGTTAATAAACTAGGAAATAAACTATTCACCTTGGGCCATTGAGTTAACCTTTCTTCTATATCTTATTAAGGTATTTGTGTTGCATCATGGCTGTATTTCACTTAGTTAAAAATGACAAAACCCATCCCACTACATGTAGGAAGAGCAATGAGTTTTTACGGAGAGAACCAAGACATAATCTTCCAGGTTGTGTCTGTTTTTCTGAAGGTCAATCCTTAGTGCCTCCCAAGTTCACTGTGCATTAAATCTGGATGCTTAGTAAAGAATTCCTCTGTTTTGTCATACAACAATATGACTTACTCTCCCCCCCCCCAACATCACATGGTAAAAATTGATCTGGTTGTATGTTGAGCAATCTGATAACTTTTGCCACACAGTGTGCAGTAATTTGTTGAAATTGGGCCATGCTTTGTTCACAAGATGGGAGTTATGGCAGGGTTTTCAGGGGAGTTGGATAATGAAAGTGTTGTGAGCATGCATGGATCCCAAAGGGTGAGTGTTGAGGATGACATCCATTGTGGGATTCCCTATCTGACTCAAAGACCATCAAGAGAGCTATGGGGTTTAGAGGATAGTGTCTGGGAACTTTTTTTTCCATTCGATATCCAGAAAATGCTTGTCTGGCAAATCGATTTTTTAATTATTAAAAGAATTGGTCCTACAAACAGCTCTCTCCTTAGAGTGGTACCAACACAGATCCACTTGCTATCCCTGTGGTG